GTCCGATCACAGGACTTGGCCGTTAAAATTTTAAGTGTATCTCAAACGAGAGGTATATGTCCTCTGAGATACAGATACCGTAGAATGTGGTGGCTTCTTATCAGCGCTGTCGCCTTGGAGTGTGGGCCGTACTACCTGTCGTCCCGGACAGTGTCGTTGCCGTCGGCGCGGTAGTCTGACGCCGTCGACGGCCGACAGAGTCCGCACAGCAGTCTGTGCCGGTACGGGAGGTCCGGCCCGCCCCCTGCGGGTGGGACGGGCCGACCGGCCGGCGCTGAGACCTTACAGGCGGCCGTCTGTACAGCCACGAGGCCGGCCGTAAAGGGGGACTCGCACACTCGGCCGCTCTGCTGGCAGAACTGTCCTAATGGTCCTAATGGTCTGTGTATGATGGGGAAGGAACAGGGGTTTACTTAGTCGTGACTGGGCGTGACTGACGGCGACGGTCTGTGCTGAGGCTGATATGATTTTCGACATGAACTAACCGACTGTTCCTGATGCAGGTTCTTGGTTTCAACGCCCGTCAGCGGAAGGCGTTCCTGAACGCCATCATGCGCTGGGGTATGCCGCCGCAGGACGCCTTCAACTCGCAGTGGTGAGTCCGGTGGTTGCGGGAGAATCAGGCCCTGCGTCGCAATATGATAGACATATTAATTGTAGAGATCATTCTTCAGGGGGACTATTATGGCAATGTTTACTCACCTGACGACGAAAGTATTTTGACAATAATTGAGAGCCGGCTTTTTCAGACTAATGCTCAGTCTTTGAAGGATTTTTTTTTTGCCGTTATGTAATGACAACCTTGTATTTCGCAATGATACTGTTGTAGCGCTGTATACTTGTAGTCAATAGCGCTACAACAGCATCATTGCGAACTACAAGGCTTACTGACTTTGTGGACGATAATCAAACACCCTTCCGTTGCAGGCTGGTGCGTGACCTGCGCGGCAAGTCTGAGCGCAATTTCCGGGCGTACGTGTCTCTATTCATGCGGCACCTCTGTGAGCCGGGCGCCGATAACTCGGAGACGTTTGCCGACGGCGTGCCCCGCGAGGGACTCAGTCGGCAGCACGTGCTCACCCGCGTCGGAATCATGTCACTCATCAGGAAAAAGGTCAGTAGGAGAGATCGGCTAGATACTAATGCAAGATACTAATTGTGCTGGTGGGTCTAAAAGGGTATTGGTTTGGATATGTGTTTCCCAGAAAACTAATGGTCCGATTTGACCGCTCGGCGCGTCTGTTCCAGGTACAAGAGTTCGAGGCCGTGAACGGTAGTTTCTCTGTGCCGGAGCTGATGGAACGTCGCGCCGCGGCGGCGGCAGCGGCGGCGGCCACCCCAGTGGCCTCGTCAGCGGCGCCGTCCGACCAGACCTCTGCGCAGACGTCCGCCTCGGCCACTCCGGCCACCTCGGCGGCCCCCAGCCCCTCTCCGGCGCAGGTAAGAATTTAGCCGGTAACAACCGGCCGGGTATCTATTTAACTGGGTCTGAACTAACACGCCTAGGTCGACTCAGCTCCGACGGCTCATGTGTGTCTTGTGTCGTAGCACGGTGTGCCTCGTTTTGTCCGCTTGATAGTTTAATGGCCTTCCATAATGCCTTGGTGTCGACTCATGTAATGATTGTAATGATTGTCTAGCGGTGTTCTGACAGTCGTAGCAGTTATAATTCCTGGCAGTATCATTTTCGTGGTGTTCCCTGCTGACTTTTTTGTCCGTTTCAGAACGGCGAGAAGAAGGAGGAGCCTGAGGAGCCGCCGCGCCGCCCGGAGAAGGAAACTACAGACGGCGAGCCGGCGAAGGAAACTGCCGAGCCGGCCGACGGCGCCGCCAAGGCCGAGCCTGCCAAGGACGGCTCAGCAGTATCGCCGGCCTCGGAGGTGAAACCCGAGCCGATGGAGACAGACGCCGCCAAATCCGAGACCAAGGAGACCAAGGAGGAGCCGGCGACGCCGAAAGCAGAGCCGGCGGCGGAGAAGGAGAAGGAGAAGACAGAGGAGAGTGCCCCGACTGAGGGAGAGACGGGCGAGAAGAAACCGGCAGAGGCGGCGGCAGTGGTGAAGAAGGAGGAGAAGACGGAGACTAAGGAGCAGCCCGAGAAAAAGGAGGTGAGGAGAGGGGTGGTGTCGGATTAGATTTGGGACTCAGGCGGTATGGGATGGGCCATGCAGAGGTGGCGGGCTTGTGTCGGTTCATAATGCGCGGCATTTGCGTCCTCTCGCTTTGTTGGCTTCTGATGCTGGAACCTCGGATTATCGTTCTGACAGGTTGAAAGGTTGAGCCCAAATTGGTGAAAATTCGTTCATTTCTTTCTATTCTACATTTAGTTCATATCGTCTGTCCACATTCAAATCTGCCTTCGTGTCTGCGGAAGCCATTACTTAACCCAGCCCCCTTTGTCTCTGGTCTCTCAGGAGAAGAAGCTGTCCCGTCCGAAGCACAAGTTCATGTTCAACATCGCCGACGGCGGGTTCACGGAGCTGCACACGCTGTGGGTGAACGAGGAGAAGGCGGCCGTGCCGGGCAGAGAGTACGAGATCTGGCACCGGCGCCACGACTACTGGCTCCTGGCCGGCATCGTGGTGCACGGCTACGGCAGGTGGCAGGACATCCAGAACGACATACGGTGAGTAACTATGTGGGCCGGTGGGTGGATAATTATACGGTGGCTGCTCGGAACCCTGAGAATATCGACCCTGACGCTAGAGCATTGAGAATAAACACGTCAATCGGACCAGCTATGCCTGATTTGCGTGGCCAATGCCAATCCCCGAGCTCCCGTGATTCGATTGACTATCCGGCTCACCTTCCTGTGTTTCTCTTTCCCTTGCTCCGACGTGTGTTTGATTTCGTCTTTCCCCTGCTCTGCCTCAGGTTCGCCATCATCAACGAGCCGTTCAAGATGGACGTTGGCAAGGGCAACTTCCTGGAGATCAAGAACAAGTTCCTGGCGCGGCGGTTCAAGCTGCTGGAGCAGGCGCTGGTGATCGAGGAGCAGCTGCGCCGCGCCGCCTACCTGAACCTCAGCCAGGAGGCCAGCCACCCGGCCATGGCGCTCAACGCCCGGTTCGCGGAGGTCGAGTGTCTGGCCGAGAGCCACCAGCACCTGAGCAAGGAGAGCCTGGCCGGAAACAAACCGGCCAACGCCGTCCTCCACAAGGTGGGTGGAGGGGTGGCCGGTCACGGTAGTTGACCACGATAACACTGGTCAGCTGGGAGTTTTTACTACGTCGGTAAATCGGTCTTCTTCCAAACAGCCCACCGTTACATCAGTACCTTGCTGTTCTCCGTGCGTATGCTGTGACGATTGTTACCTGTCTGTGAGTGTGCTGTAACGTGACGTGTCTACAGGTTCTGAACCAGCTGTAGGAGCTGCTGTCTGTCTGTGTCCTGTAACAGCTGTTGTTTTCGACCTTAGGTTCTGAACCAGCTGGAGGAGCTGCTGTCGGACATGCGCTCGGACGTGTCCCGCCTGCCGGCCTCCCTGGCCCGCATCCCGCCCGTGGCCCAGCGACTGCAGATGTCGGAGAGGTCCATCCTGTCCCGGCTGGCGGCCGGCACCTCGGCTCAGCCAGGTCAGTATCAAAGGGGCAACTGTGATCCCCTCCCCCGATCACATCCTTAGCACAGCCCGGCTCAGCCAAGTCAGTAGTATGAGGGGCACTGATTGATCGGGGCGGGCAGATCAACACATACTCCTCTACTGCAATGTCCTTTGAACAGCTGTGTCAGTCACTGGTCACTATTCGCCTTTCCTGACATGTCAGTTGGATCAGTGACGCATTGGTCAATTATCAACGGGTTCGGGGTTACCCATCGGAATGAGATTTTGATGAAAAACATCGCTTCTGTTACATCATGCTGCATGTACCGGTATACCGTCAGATTATTTCACCTTTGTATTTATCTGTGTTTTCCAGGCGCGGAGGGTAGCGGCAGCCAGTTCCCGGCGGCGCTGCAGGCCCAGTACTCGGGTCTGAACCTGGCCGCGCTCCGTCCGCAGTACTCGGTGCCCGGTATGGCGGCGCCGTCTCACCCCGCCTTCCCGGGACAGACCACCGGCGCGGCCGCCGCCGCCAGCGAGAAGTGAGCGCCGGCGGGCGGGCTGTGTGAGGGGGAGCGGGGTGGGTTTCACGGCATCTGTGTGCGCCCGCTCGGCTAGCTGAGCGGAGCGGGTTGTGATGTGTCTGCGCTCAATGTCATCATGTGTGCCGGCTGAGGAGACCTGGTGGCTCCAAGGAGGGCCATAGAGGGACCGGACCGAACCGTAAAAGTCTGTGAATAGACGGGACCTAAAAGGACCGTACTGTGAAGAGAGTGGACCTTGGGGAACGAACTGGGCCGGGCCGGACCGTGGATGGGACCGGACCGAACCAAACTGGAAGGTTAGAGTGTCCGGGTTCGATTAGCTGTGCTCTTCGGTCTCAATTCATATGATCTACACCGACGTTACCTGGCTGCTGTAAGGTCCTCTTGCCCTGTGTACTAATACATCGCTGTCCAAAATTACACTGATGTGTTTCTCGGGGATAATGCTGTTACGTTGCGTTCAAAGTAAGCTCTTATTTTGGAAAGTCAGCCTCGTCGTGTGGTGCGGAAATTCGGAAGAAGGCTGGCGAATTTAATACGAATGCGTGCCACAAGGGTGAGAGTTCCGATATAACTCAGCACAACCCCTGTCTGGACGTTTAGTTATGGTGGGGTCGCGCGGGTCCTGACCTTTGCGACTGATGGGAAAATCCCGGGCAGGCAGCTGGGAGCTGTCTGCAGCCGACCGGGCACTGACGCGGCTCGAACCAGACCCTGACCGCCGTCCGTCAGACCAGCTCAGCACTATTCCTGTCTGAGTCATAAACACTGGGGTAAACCAGCCTGTGTCGTGATGCCGGTATTTTTTAGACCTTCGCTGCTCGCACGCCGCTATGTTGCAATGTAGTCGACTCAGATAGTTTTTGTTCGTCATTTCCCCCACCTCCGATGACGCTGTCACGACTCAGCACAGTCGAGTACCGCGCCCCGTCTGCCGTCTTCCCTGCAACCCGCTCCCGCCGCCCTGCACTGCCGGCGCATCTACTAGATCCGCCGCTGCCGGCGGTCTCCTGGCTCCGCCCCTGCCGAGCCGGTCATGCCGGGCAGAGGGAGAGGGGGAGGGAGGGAGAGCCGCCGCGGCTCGCCGGCCGGCCAGTCACGCCGGGCGTCGCCGCCGGTAGAGGTGTGAAACAACGGTACCGCTGCCAGGGAAAAGCCGCTCAGCTCACAGAGAGTCGAGAGCCAGTGAGCGCAGGACGAGCTACTGAGCGGAGGAACAAACAGAAGGTATGTGCTGCTCTTAGTGCTCTTGTATGGGATCATAAAGCCGGTATTTTATTGAACCGGTGGTAGGGTTTTTGTTGGGAGAAACGAAGGTCACTTGGGGCCGGCCGGGCGCCGCCAGTTGTGGTTTATTGAACTTGGAATGGATTCAGCTGCGGAGGGGGGCCTGATGCCTTCAACGGTCGATACCGAGGATGGGGTTACGGAGACAAAGGGGTAGCGTTTTGGCCAATTTTCTGATGTGCTTGTCATCTGCTACCCTAAAGCGTGCTAACAACGGCTAGGATGTGCTTTTGCTGAGTCATGATGAGTTGAACCGCTTTGCATGAAAATATTTTCCACCGTTCCCCAGGTTTCTCATGTTATTGAATGCATACATTTTATTCTCGCGTTTTTTACTTGCCCCTCATCTCTCTCCCTCCCCCTCTCCCATCTCTCGCCTCCCTCCCTCTATCCACAGCCATGGGTCTGGACCTGTACTTCATGGACAAGAGCTCGCCGGCCCGGGCGGCGCTGCTCCTCATCAAAACGCTCGGCCTGGACGTCAATGTCAAATCGCTGGATCTCTTCGGCGGGGAACACCTGCAGGAAGACTTTGTCGCCGTAAGTGATGGCGGTGTGGTACAGCTGAGCTGACGTAGCCCCGGAGCTATCATAGTCGATATACCCAACAGTCCGACATTCGACACCCGTGATTCATAGCTCTTGTATCAGAATTGGACATGAGGAAACAGTGGGGAGACTGCGGATGTATTTCCCAGCCACTTCCAGTCTTCCCGGCTACCACGCTGCGGTGATGGACGATACACGAACAAAAGTCTACACCGGAACATTTGGCAATCCCTGACACATGCACGGTTGAGCGCTGTTCAAGGGTTGGTGCTCGCTGCGCTTATTATGCAGTTTGCTCCACTATTGTCAGTGTCACGTCTTTCACTCAACCTCACGTTCGCTAGTGCTTTTAAGTGGGTGCCGTGCCCTGGCAAATCAAGCGATGAATACCCGAAGGGCCCGAGGGACACTCCATGTGGTTGACCGGACGCCGGTCCGATAAAAGCAGCGTCTATCATTTGTTTGCGCAGGTCGGCACTCCACCCAGCCCGAACCCACCTTTCATACTAACGGTGATGTCGTGTTATGTTACAGATAAACCCCCAGCACACGATCCCGACTCTGGTGGACGGAAAGTTCGTCATATGGGAGAGGTAATGTACGACTTATTCAATGACTTTTGTCACCGAATTTTGTAATAACTCAAATAACAGCGAGGATAGGGGTCTAGGGATACTAGAACCGTTTTATGACGAGGCCAAACGATAAGTGATGATTGTATGATAACCATAAACGAAGGAAACCTGACGGTGGTCACTGGTCCCGGATGGAAACTCATCTAAATTTACCAGGCTTCCGTCAAATGTGTTCAACTGTTCAGCTGTGTCTCTGTTGTTTTCTCTGATGTGCGACTCGCCTGTTTTTCAGTCGCGCCATCATGACGTATCTGGTGAACAAATACGGCAAGGACACCTCCCTGTACCCTACCGACCCTGAGGAGAGGGCTGTGGTCGACCAGAGACTCTACTTCGACATGGGCACACTCTACGACAACTTCGGAAAATGTGTGGTAAGTTTCAGACACTAACGTCATCAGCTCCTGACCTAAGGAAGTCCAAATCGAATCGTTTTTTCACCGGAGATCTAGATGGGATTTCATAAATGTGCTTCCTTGCATGCTAATTAGCAAACGATTAACATATCTGGCTACCCGAAAAACGAAGGTAGGTACGCTACAGCACTGTACATACAGTGTACGGCCCTCCAGGACTCCAGGTATTTAGTGGTTGGTTGCCATCATCACAATAATCGATCTGCATGATGAATACGTCTAATGGCTGTTGAAAACCATTGTCGAAATGTGTGCACGAATCCCCTTCTCATTTCTATTGAGTCATTTTACAGGAGTGTCTCTGTCATTCAAAGTTATTGCACCAAAAGCACATAGGCTAACCAACCGCTCTTTTGCTGGAGGGCCGTACGTACGTACCCCAGCTCAAACTTTTTCTAGAAGTCGGATCCAGACTTCTTTCAGTAACTAGTCCTCCTGCCTCACCTTCCCCAGTACCCCATCATCTTCGGAGGTGCCAAAGAGGTGGATGAGGCCGCCCTGACGAAGACGAAGCAGGCTCTGACGTGGCTGGAGGGCTTCATTGGAGACCGGGGGTTCGTGGCCGGCAGCAGTCTGACGGTGGCCGACATCGCCCTGGGAGTCACCGTGTCCACACTGGAGGTGAGGGACGATCGGGAGGGACGCTCGGGGAGGGACGCTCGGTGAGGGTCGATCGATGAGGGACGCTCTGTGAGGGTCGCTCCGTGAGGGACCCTCGGTGAGGGTCGCTCTGTGAGGACGCTCCTCTGAAGGTCTCCACTTCCAGCCTGCCGTCTATGTAAGCATAGTTCACCGAGCGGACGATAGATGTCAGGTCATGCACATCGAGTCCCGCCGATCGCGAGCTGAGATCCAGAAAATCCAGTCTGAGAAAACATTGTGATTGATGCTTGTCCTGTGTCTAATTTTCCTGATGCTCTGTTTCGCAGGCGTCAGGCATCTTGGACCTGTCCGCCTACCCCGTCGTCAGCGCCTGGCTGAACAAGCTGAAGACGACGCTTCCCGGGTACGCGGAGGCCAACCAGCCGGGAGCCGAGGCCTTCGGCGTCATGTTCAAGGAGGCGCTGGCCAGGAAGTCGTGACTCGTGAGGAGGCCGAGGATGATACCAGCGAGGGGGTCCTATGCGTGGTGACCACAACGCTGCCAGTGTTCTAAGAACAGAATCGGAGCTTACAGCACGTCGGCCAAATGGATATGTAACGGAGACTGTCGGGAAATATGAAATATATGTTTACAAAATATTGGTGAAAGAAAAAACTGTGTTTACGACGACAATGAATTGTGATAGTTATTCATGAAGGGATGAACTTTTTTTCTCAATAATAATGATCCCATCGCACGAACCGGCTAAGAGGTCAACCGTTTAGCCAAGGGTCTGTTTTTTTATGTCTACGTTCAGATTACGTACTAATATTTATGTATTAATATGAATTATATATTATGTATTATATATTACGCATACATAATACATAATATGTGCAATGTATTATGCATTATATGAGGATGCTTACGATCCTACATCAGCAGCTTATGTCTAATCCCCCTTCATTCTGATGACGTCATCCCCCACCTCCTGCCGGGGGAAACTGCGGACTGCGGATGTCGGTCTGTCAGACGGCCTCTGTGACCGCTGACCTTCGGCGCTCCTCCGTATGACCCACTCTCCTCCACCTGTCTCTGTCCGCGGTGACGTAACGAACGACTACTCCGGACTGCCCCGACCGGTCCTCAGTGACGTCATACCCTCTGACGTCACCGGAGTTTCCGCGTCACCACGAGCTGGACTGCCGGCCGGCCGGGCGGCGGCGGTGGTGACCAGACTCGCCGCTACTATAAACAGTTGTATGTGACAGAGGCGCGCCTGCTCTCGTCAAACCGAGCCGAGCAGCGGGCGCCGCCTCCTCAGTCGTATACCGTAACCGCCGTCCACACACTGAGCTGAGACCGGGTCCGTTGGACTGGGTTTGTGTGCTTGTGGAACTTCTGGAGGTAGTGGCCGCCGACAGGTGGACGGTGGTCAGTGTGTGGATCTGACAGCTATCGTGCTTGAATCGGACCGTAAACGGAACATCCCGATTGGTGCAGCGGCACACAGTGCAGTGTTTAATAACGCACGGTCAGTCCCCGGTACGGTGCGTGCTAAGTGGTCCATTGTGTGCACACACACATACATCGGCAGTGTTTGTGCCGCCAGCGAACAGTAATCAACTGAGCCTAATTCTGTTAGAATTAGCGACACTCCCGGCCACGAGGCACTCGGAGACGGTACCAAACACCGCAGCGACGTCGCCCGAGGGATCTACCCGTCAATTCCAGTAAGGTCAGTGTCACCATTCGCCCGCCCGCTCGACCAAATGGCATGTCCCCGTCAGTCCTAACTGCAAACACATCATCATTCGCTGCATATTCAGTGCCATAAGCTGACGGGCGTGTCGTTTGTCCAGCGGCGACCCGCTGGCCGCCATGCAAGTTAACGGCGGAACGGCAAACACTTTCTCCGTGATCATAAATGACAGTGCGTTTTCGTTTGATTGCCTCCCTGCTAGTGCTGACCGCTCGTCCCGCCTGCCGCCGATACCCTCGGTCCCGGCCGCTGCAGCTCACACAGACGGGCTGGGCCGACAAAGGCTTGTCTGTCGGACCTCGATTATACTTGATATATAATTTCATGCAATAAAAACTGTCGCACTTGATAACATTTGATAAGTACTTATAGGTATATAGGTAGGTACGGGTGTATTTACATGATTACCACCGACGCATTATATGATGATACGGCTGGACGTATAAACGACGTAAAACTGGCTCATCATAACAATCGATAAATTCCGCAATGGCAAATTGTAACAATGGCAAGACCTAAATTAAACATACCTATAACATATTTAACGAGCACGCCGCAGGATCAATACGGAGCTCATTACGGTACGGTTCTGTCCCTATAACGCATCCACATTACATCACGAAGAACAAACACCGGCTTACACGTACCTAAATTAATTAGAGGCGTGGTGAACGTTTATTTCCCGGTTCTGTTATTCGTGCTCCGAAACATGTGCCATGCAGTTACGCTGCAAATGAAGCTCAGACCATTAGCCATCTACGCTGCTCTGAAATACATATGTGCCATGCAGTTACGCTGTAAATGAAGCTCAGGCCATTAGCTTAGTGTTTGCTGAATTCGTTTTCCATATTCGACAAACCCTGCGTGGAAAGAGAGCATTTGATCTAATAAATACATATATATATATATATATATATATATATATATATATATATATATATATATATATATATATATATATATATATATATATATATATATATATATATATATATATATATATATATATATACATATATATATATATATATATATATATATATATATATATATATATATATATATATATATATATATATATATATATATCGTAAATAGTGCTTAGCTTGCGAGTACCTAATGGGCTTCCTTATATAACAATAGTTGCATTCTTGCGCATCGTATTGCTGGCTACTGCAGTACTGCAACGTGAAAATCCAGAACCATATCATTATTTACTGTTGCTTTTGACTGCAAGGCTGATTTACGCGGTCAATTTATGTACGGGCTACTGATGCGCGAAGCGCTATCGCTATAGGCATTCAGCCGGGTTCTATTGGTTATTTAACGCAGCCGTGACATTTCCATGGGTCACATATAATTTATTACAACCAGTATAGGCACCAATATCACCTGACTCCTGAGCTTCCACTTCATTAACATTGCGTACAACTGATGGGCAGTAACTGACTCTAATTACTTCGCGTGCCATTAGCATTCCGGCTCTACATAAAGTGCTGTTTGCAGGGCGCTCTCATTGCCCATATGGGCGTCAGTAAGTGGGATGGTCGACTTGCCAGCATTCAAAACTCAAGCATGGGAGTTAAGCCGGCGAGTCAGAAATCATATTCATAAGGCAGCCCATTCTCTGCAGCCTGCAGCAATAATTCCACGTATGACGTAACCGCTCTACAAGTGCTGTACGGTGCTCGGAAGCTGGTTTTTACCATACGGATAATTTCCGTCTTCAATAGCTCACTTCCTCCCGCGGTTCAGACAGGACAAAGCCTTGGACAGGACGGTGTCCGGCCGACACGTCACCGCGTTCCAATTACCGCGTCGGCGGCGCGGCGGCGGCGGGTTACTCCGATGACCGGTGTAGGTAGGTATACGGGGAGCAGCAGGTCGACGCGCCGCACAAGGGCGGGTTTTTCCAGCGGCGGCCCAAGGTCTGGTCCTGGACGGCCGGGTGGGGGTGGACGAGCGGCAGTGAGACGGGGAGAGGCAGCGGGAGAGCAGCCACTGACAGTGAGGTGCGACAGGGAGAGGAGACGGTCGAGAGTGTGAGAGGGAGAGTGCAGAGCTGTTAACCGTCAGGGAAGTGAAGTGAGGGAGCGATCAGCGAGAGCGAAGACGGCTGCTAAGGACAACTTTGGAGACCAGCCACGTCCTCAGTGGGGGTTCATAAAACTGGTGAGCACCTAAACATAAAACGTGACCCGGCGAGCCGTAACTGACCAGTAACTGACCCGCGGTGTCGCGTCCTCTCCGGCCGCTCCGAGCCGCTGAGCTCCGCTCGCGCACCGGGGCCAGTGAACCGGTCCGTTTATTGCCCGTGCTGTCGGTCCACGAGTGTCTCTCCCACAGAAGTAGCTGACCCGCTCAGTGTCGCTCTGTTCGGCGACTGATCCGCTCTCTGTGTGCCTCGGCAGCAGACGGCTATCCCGACGGCGAGTGTCGAGGGTGACCGGCGGAGGTCAGCAGAGGTCAGCAGAGGTCAGCAGTCACACAGGAGGTCACCATGCGACCACTGCTCGCCGGTGTGGTGCTGCTGGTGACGTCTGCGCTGGTTCCAGCCCAGGCGCTCAGTCGGAACCGGAGAGCACCCGACATCAACTTCAATGAAGGTGAGCTTATGGATTCTCAGTTGGTATTGCCTCATTCTTACTTAGTAGTGGCATGAGCGATTATATTCGATAGTCCAAGTCTGCCATGAACTGGCTAGAGAACCATCCACTTTGTATGTTTAAACGTACCCAGTTACTTTTAAACTTTCTTTTCTATATACGTGCGTGACTAATTTAACTTTTAAGCGATAGGTACAGGGCCATAAACAAATATTCTCAATCATACAAACGTTTCCGATCCAGTTAATAAAACACCCCTACGTCGGAGAAAATAGGATAGAAATAACTATGCAAATTACTTGCTTGTTTTAAAGAATTTAGATAAAATAAAGCAGATGAACGGGATGAAAACATTGACAGGGCGATATAAAATCATGTTTATGGGTAACTTTGGTAGTTTCGTAGCGAAAACAAATCGATATATTTTGCAGAACGACATATGTTCAAGAGCAATTAAGCGTGCATGGACGGGGGGAAGGTTATACCCAGAAACAATGCTGCAAGTCACGTTTATTGGCATTTTCCTCTTCATCGTGAACGCGTCACGAACAAGACCAGTTATTGTGAAACGGACACGACACCAATCACCGAGAGCTACTTTGGAAATACCGTCACGATGCATACCGTGCCCTGACGGCGGTCCATCTGATGTGTCTGTCTGTGCCTGCCCGTCCCGATCTGCGGCCAGATCATGGTCTGTTTGTGCCTCATGCCCGTCTCTTTATTCGCTCAGACAATGTGTCTACAGTATGCGCCTGTCCGTCTGTATATTCGCGCAGATAATATGTCTCTATTGGTCTGTCCGTCTCTTTGTTCGCTCAGATAATGGTTACGTCTGTACCTTTCGTCTCTATTTTTCGCTCTTTTTTTCTCTGCCTGTCCGTCTCTATACGTGTATTCGCCGAGCTCTGATATATCTGTCCTACCCCGTCCGCAGAGCGCCGCGAGGAGGACTGTACCGACTGGCGCGACCGGACGGGAGACTGCGTCACCGCTTCCAACTGTCCGGCCATCCTCAGCATGATCAGGAACAGGCCCAGCTCGCAGGACATTCAGAACATCCGCAGCAGCATCTGTGGCTTCAAGGTGAGCCTGCGGCCCTTCCCGGGGCGCGATACGGCAGTGCCAGCGCGGGTCTGCTTTGTACTTTATACGCCTTTTGATATTGCCATTTCATCAGGGGTGCTTTGTTGTATCTCTTGTCACGCCCAAAAAAACATTGCGACTTGCGAGATCAATGTTATCCAATGCTGTCTGGTACAAAGGAACTGGTACAAAGGGACTTATTCTGGTATCTGACGATCATCTAGTCTAGTGTATTTGTTCAATGTGCATGT